AGTTCCTTACAGCTACTCCATTGGTGAAAGCCGCATACAGAGGAGGGAGTCTGACATCTGAGTGACCCCAAACAGTGCTGGATATATTGGCACTGTAGATCTGGAATAATATGAGATTATTTAATTCAAAGTCCTGAACTGAAACATCAGACAATTCATTGTGGCTCAGCCCTACTGTTCTCAGTTTCTACTTTTTAAAGCCTGCACACAGGGCTGGTGCAGCAGGGCACTGCTTACAGTACCCTGGATTGGGGCATGCGCCATGTGTTCGGTCCAGTCTAGGTCTTGTGCTTCATGTGGCATATGGAGCCAGCAAGGAGCATGCACAGCGTGCAGTGCCCTTTCTAGATCACCCCTGTTTGGTGCCTCTAGCATGCAGGAATGGTCTGTGGACCCAATCTGGATGGGCCATAATGCTATGGGGCACCCTGGACTGGACCTTGTGGCAAGAGCAGTGTGTGGGGAACATGGGGGAGGTCCAAGACCCACAGGTTGGATCGTAGGGCTCCAGAAACCAGATCTGGCCCAGAGGCCGTATCTTTGACATCCCTGTCCTAGGGCATTTGATTTATATGGTATGGGCAGTAAGTTACCACATAACATACTTGCTAGCCATTTTCCAGCCTCTGTTTTTTAACTAAAGCAATAGAGCTTCCCTACCTCAATGGCTGGACTATCTCAACACCTAACAGATCTTACCTTGGGGATCTTTTCCTTACTAACCTACATTTACTTGTTTCAATTTTCTAACAGCTAGCATAACATGAAAGTCAAGCATTTTACCTTGCTGTAGTGTATTACTTTGTGGCAGACCTCTGTGCTGCTACCCAGTAGTCCCACTCCAAGTGTGTCCAGGATCATCCGTTTGCTTCTCTGAAGGACTTGGTCTGTCAGCTGGCTTGCATTCAAGCCATGGATCATGCCAGCAAAGTTTCCAGTGATGGTCTGGGGGGGGAAACAAACAAACAAGCAGATGTTTCTGTTAATTTAAAAGGCAACATGAACAACCTCCAACCTCTGATTTTCGTTAGTTATTTCACCTGTATTTCCTCAGTTCTGAAAAGGATTTAAGTCAACAGTAATTTACATCACACTATTACTCTATTATACATAAGCTCACACTAATTATACAAAATCAATCACATTTCTTCCCTCCCCCCAGCGTTTATGTCTCTCTTACACTGTCTGCTTTCAATATTTACATCTTTCCTTTTCTTTTTTCTCCCAGGTTGATTCAGCCTTTGGGAGTTGCTCAGAACTCCAACTGAGTTGCTCCTAGCAGCTCCTATTTACCTTTGAAATCAATTAGGTGTTTAAATAATTTTGTGAATCAGGGCTCATGTGACCCAGATTTCTAAAGATGTTAAGCTCCTAAAGATGCAAATAGAAGGATTTCCCAAAGTGCCCAGATGCCTGATTCACACTGACATCAGTTGGGGTTAGGCAGGTGCTGATATTTGAAAGTCCCACTGTGTACTTACCTGCATCTCTAGACACCTAGGGCCAGATCCTGTCCTGTTTATTAATATCCAAGTGGACTTAGATGCCCAAATGCGACTTTATTCCACCATCTACCTTTGCAACACACATACCCATCTTACCCCCTCATCCCTAGTACTAACAGTTTTTCAGGGGCTAAAGCCGGGTGGAATAGAATCACAGTAAGGCACCTAGGCCCATTTAAGAGCCTAATAGATTGAATAGAATCTGGCTATTAAATACCATTAAATATCTGTTCCAGTTTGACTTCATCTCTTTGGAACACGGATGACCAGAATTTTATGTAGCATTCCAGACAAAGTCTCTACTAAAGTCTTTACCTTGTACAGTGTATTAAGCACTTTAAAAACACACAAAGAACTCTTAAGCAATGCATGTGGCAGTGAAATCACAGAAGTTTAAAATGAAAAGCCAAGGCTTAAAATGCAGAAAATCAAAATAATACCTTTGCCCACATATTGTAATGGATGATGGTTAATCCCAGTCAGGCTATGAAGACGTGACGATGGAGAGGCATTCTTCTCTATATATGCTACTCAGAGTCTCTGTACTTCCCATCTTGCCCTGCCCCTTTCCTTTCTTGCAAATAAATTTCCCCTTTTTTTCTTCACCTCCAACTTTCCTCTGACTAACTTCCTCCACATCACATGCTGCTGGGACTCCTTGTTATAGCATTTTGTTGTGGGTCAGGTTCATATGACATGGGGTCTTCATTCTATTTTGCTACTAGAGGTGCTCTTTCAGTCAGTTTTTCATGCCCATCTGTTCCTTTCAGCATCTGTATTTCTACCAGGAACACAATGTAGTAACATTATTGAAGTGAATTTAAATTAAGGCATTTCATTACATTTAGAAGTTTACTATCCTTAAAGTTGTGTCAGTCTTTTCTTGCTTTTCCTTTACCTTTGTCATTTCTGTAATTCCCTTTTACCTCCTTATCTCCCACTTGTATTCTCTAGGAAAGAATCTCAGTGGAACGCTAACTTTTACTATGAGCTCTCCATTCTGCTGTGGCAACATAAAAGTGACCCGCAACCACCCAGTGAATTTCCCCAGTGTGGGTGCTGCAGGGACAATTAACAGTGGCCCTGTGTGGAGAGATGCCACAGGAAAAGAATCCCTCAGAACAAGCATAGCTATGTAGTTCATATGCAACTTTGGATAGATGACCGTAATGTAGAACTCTTGACTGCTCTAATATACATTAAGGAACAGCTCTTGTCCCTGGCAGTGCTCCAAATGAGAATGGTATAAAAGTCATACAACCCCAAGATACCCTCCGTCCCATGACCTAGAACTTCTTTGGTGTTTTTCTAGGGCAGCAATTTTCAACTCTGGGTGCTACAAGATTTCTTTTTAGGGGTGCCACTCAATATTAGCTCTGTTCAGTGTGAAACACCTACACACGAGTTACAAGATAAACCAAGAGATTTTAAATAGGGATCCACAGTGTCAAAAACATTCAGACATGTCGTGGTCTTTCTGAGTTCTTTGCAACACAAGAATTACTTTATTATTTTCCATTGTCACAAAACGAATGAAAGTTAAGAGCAGGTGTTTTCTGAGAACTGTCTTGAGTCTAACAAGGTTGAGAACCTACTACTGCTCTAGTAGAAGGCATAGCATAAAGTCTCAGCCAATGGGTATATACCTGGGGTAACTCCATTGACAGAACAGAGTAAGTGTTGTTATCTTCAGTTTACAATGGAATAATTTTGTAATACTTTCCATTTCCTAACACTTTCAAATATTTGCAATTGCAGGAAAGACACCTTGTGAAGAGGCCCATGTATGTCCTTTATACCAGTCCTTTTTATGTCTGCCCATGAGCCAAATCCAGTCCATGCAGCCATGGCTCCAGCCTGTGGGGTTTCCCACGAGTTGGGAAATTTGGCAGGGGGAGTGGTGGCAATTAATATTAAAATATCCCCCCAAAAATAGTGGTAGGGGAGGGAGCTGGTCCATGCTCCCTCCCCCACACAGCCAGATCAGGTCCCACTTCACCCACCCCATGTGCTGGACTAGGCTCACTGGCTGGATCTGGCCCATGGATAGATTGGGCACTTCCTATCAGATCCATGGGGCAAAAAGTTTGAGCACCACTGCTTTGTACAATTATTATGCCATTGTTAGCATATAGTACAAATAGTTCCACTTAAGCACTCAACATCAGATTTAAATAGGACTTCTGCTGGGCTGTGGGGCAGGCATGCTTTCCAATCACATGCTCCCAGCTGGTTTTTGCTATAGCTTCTTTCTATAACAACACTTCCTGTTTAGATTTGTCAACACCTTGAGAACATTACTTAAGTGGAATGATACCAGGTATGAATTGAGACATTTATGTGAAAGGAAGTATATCATATACTCCTTTATTTATCCACTACTATCTCAGGGCTGAAAGATGCTCACAGTTACATGCTCTGAGTCACTGAAAGTAGCCCGGTAAACAAAGGCAGAACACAGATTCTGTGTTCACTGCATATGCTAACAATGGCAAATAGAATCAGATATGTACGTGCTACCCTTTGATAAATCTACCAGGAGGATGTGGAGGTGTGAATTTCCAAGCACCATGATTAGGTCATCTCCTTAGGTAATCTCAGTGAATGATCTAGGTTAGGTGGGTTATTATCAGGTACACAGCTTTAATTTCAATTCAGCAAGTGACAATTAACTCCATATTAGAAATGTGTCCTGCCTTGTGCACTCCCTGTTTTCCCTGGAGAAACAGAAAGAAGCTTGCCTATCAAAGTAGACAATAGTAGAAGGGAATTCAATTACCCAGGAATGGTAGCCTGAAATTTATGACATGAAATCACATTATATATGCTACCAAAAAAAGTTATCTTATATTAGTTCTCTTATCCACTTAGTGGCCACGTCTACATGAGATGCTTACTGCGCAGTAGCTCATTACTAGTGTACAGTAGCATCGCCATGTACAAACCATGATGCAACACTACTTTGCAGTAGTGACGAGCTACTGTGCAATAAGCATCACTGGACAACCAAGCTGGGATGCTGCTGGGCAGTAATACCGGTTACTGAGAAGTCATTTTGTATTTGGTAATACAAATACTAAATGACTGCGCAGAAACGACTGCACAGTCAGTGTCTTGTATAGATGCTGCCAGTGGGTTGCAAAATCAACCAGAAAGTGTAATGAAACCTGCAAGTTATTTACAGTAGCTTAGTTCCCTGTTTTAACTTTTTCAAAACAAGCAGTGAAAGCACAGTGCCATATATCGGTAAGTGTTGACACAGGCCATGCAGAAAGTTTTGAAAATATTGTTGTCTTATCTTTTCTATACAAGTTATGCAATTTCAAAAACAAAGGTCTTTTAGACAGGATTAAAGTCTCTAACTAACATACAGTGATTATGAGGTAGCCAGTGGTAATTCGCAGACTAGACATACATGATTATTTGTGCTTAGGGTCTAGTCTACAGAGTAATGAGAAATCAATCATTGCAGCAGATATTAGATGCTACAGAGTGCATGGAAATCATGAACTGGGTAAATAATTCTCACTGAACTACAGAGGAATAGTTGAATTGATTCATTGCTAGGTTACCTGGAAAGCCCTTTTGGAAAAGAATAAGTTCCCTGGAGTTTCTAGGCCAGTGGTACTCAACCTCCAGCCCACCAGCAAGATCCGGGCAGTGGAGCTTTTTGTTATTGAGCCCATGGGATTGGAAGTTTGGGCACCACTTCTCTAGACTGAAAACTAAAGAAGACATTGCAATTCCATGACATTCCTATCCAGACCTGTAACATTTTTAGGTCATGTTTCTATCCTATATATTTATACCAGTAGCATTTATTCCAGCAATTTCACTAAATTGTACCTCCTGCCTCTGTTGGTGCAACAAGAGGCTGTTTCAGTTGAAGATGTATGGCACTGGGGGTAGGCAACTCAGTTTCCCTGAAGCATCCATGTGGTGCACTGACTCCAAAATATTTTGGTAGTGCACTGAGGTATGATAGGTTCCTCTCAGGGAATTGTGGGAACTTGGGGTTTAAGCTCCCATGATTCTCTTTGTTCATCCCATACCCTTCTCTTTTCCCACTCTTTTTTTAAAATTTTGACAGCTCCTTCATGACAACACAATCTGCTCATCCTTACTCTGATTTTCACTCTCTACCATCTCACCCTCAAGAGCAGAGATCTTCAACAGATCAATGGCGTTCTCATGTCTGTTTTAGATACAGGGCCCCTGATGCATCTGGGTTTGCAGAATTTCAATAATTAACAGAGCAACTGGTCATCACACAGGGGTTAAAACTGAGACAACCAAGGAGGCTTGCTGACAAATCATGTGGTGCAAGTGCTGGTTGGATTTACTCTGGAAACAGCATGGAGGTGCACCCTTGAGATGAAAAGGTACTGTTGTATTGTGACTATGGTGTCTGTTCCAGGCAGTTAACTGTGTCTACAGTTGGGGAAGTTTAGCATTGGAGAGGAGTATAAGACAAGGAAGTTGGGACTCCCCAACAAATTTATACTATATAAAAGCAAATTGCAGGGCGCTGACCCCTATTCCATGAACCAAGGGTCAGTGCATATCTATTTACATAACTGTTCCTTATTTTCCACTGGAGTTGAATAGAAGGCATAATAGCATGTCATTCTGGCATGCTGGTGGGGAGTGTGTATATATCTTCAAGCCCCAGAAAGAGTTCTCGCAGAAGTGCTATGGTGACTTTATAATGCTTTGTAGCACCTATTTCTGTTCTCTCAAAATCTGCATAATGCCTTGGTGCAACCTGCAGCCCACTTTTTTGTCTTTCTGCTTCTTCTCTGGCCATGTTCCCTCCACTCCCATGTTGATTCACAGCTCTTAAGATCAAGAGCTCAGTTTCCCCTAGTTAGGATCGTCTTTCAGGCAGTTGTGGAACCAGTGCCTGCCCATGTAAGAACAAGACTGGTAGGTTTAAAGGGTTAGTAGAGAGGGAAAGAGAAGTGAGAAAATGCCCTAAACTTTTTTTAAATAGGTATAGTAACATCGTGAAGCAGGTCAAACTGGCTTCAGATCTGTTTTCTTTAAGAATTCAGCAGCTTTCAAATGCGTTGGCTGTAGCTGAGAGGTAATAGAAAATGGTTAGATGGTCAGATAACCCAGGTAATGAAATGCAGTACAGTAAATAGTTTCATAGTTTCTAGGGTTGGAAGGGACCTTAGCA